CCTGAGGTGAGAGGCTTCATTTTTTTTTCCATATGTCAGGCTATAGTCACTGAGAATACTGACAGTAATCAATGAAAAATTCATTCAAGTCATTCAAAAAATCATTCAAAACCTAACTTGAAAAAATCAGTTAGGACACAAAAGAATACAAAAGCGTACAAATATGACATGCAAAGCAAGATGATGTCATACTGGGCACTGATTTTCCTGACTGTTGTATGTCTGAGACTGTAAATGTTGGTTGTGTCCTAACTGTATTTTTAGGGCAGTGATAGAGATTAAATCTTTGAAAGTCTCACTGTGGGTTATAGAATTCTGCTGGTATATTTGGGGATTTTGACCTGCCCTTGTATTCATTAATGAAAACAAATTTGACAGCTTGATGAACCATGAAACATAGTTTAAAATTCTGGATGGCTGGAACAGGCTGGAGTAGTTAATATTTTACTGCACAGTATGTTATCCCTGTTCAGTCTTGTTTAGCTTTCTTCAGCTGTTACAGTTCAGAGAAACTTAGTAAATTAACCATATTGGTTAGAATAATGAGTTGTCATTATCCATTATTTGTTCAGTTCTTATTTGGTGTTAATGTCATCCACATTCTTATGATCCTTTTAGTGCTATTTGCAATGAATTTTTTTCAAAGTAACACCAAGTGATGTCTCCAAATCTCCAGTAAAAACACATTTGCTATAGATGAGCATAACTTCTTTTATAAATTGCTTATAAAGGATTTGGAAATTCATATAGGAAAGGAAAGAAAATTGAAGGACTGCACTTTTTCCCTATGTGTTGTTCAGCAGTAGCAGTACAGGTCCAGGTACTGTGATTCTATATAATACATTGATAAAATTAAATTTGATAAAACCATTAGCGTATACGTAACCCATCACATTTACCACAGCCCTGTATAATTGTGTGCTGTTCTGCACAATCCAGACTAGCTTGTGTCATCTGAAGGTTGAAATCACATGCCAGAGGGTCCTTGTATTCTGCCAAAACCCCTCTCCATTTTCATGGTCTCCTTCACCACCTACTTCAAGGGCTTTGAGTGTTCCTCATCCCCTCTACTATCCCTGTCTTCCCCCTTTCTCTCCTCCTATTTTTTTCTGTCTTAGGATTTCTCTTTTTCTTGTGCCAGGCCCATTATCTCCTCCTGCCAGACGTTCTTCATACCCCAGGTGTCACACGTCCTTTACATACATTCCCTTTTCCCTGCTGCCATTTCCACCTCTAAAACAGCCACTGCTGACCATCACTGCTGGTGAGGACAAGTCAATCATGTTATTATGTGTCCAGGTAGGAGGTGTCACCTAGATTTCTAGGAGGCAATTCATGTTACCTGAGTTTCTTAAGCAATGGACTTGAGACAAAAAGCACAAAAAATGAAATGATGAGTGTGAATAATGGCTGAACTTGTCTGTCAGGAGCGGGTATATGAGAAATTGAAAGTTGAGGTAGTATTCAGGAAGGTAGGGATTGCTATAGTGAGCATCCTAGCAATGTTGCAGAATAACGTTCTCCAGTGTCCTTACTTCAGCAGTGGTTATTAGTACTGGCTGTTACAGAGAAACATGGAAGAAATATTGCACCAGTGTTGGTTTGCAGTATTTCTGCTCAGTGTATCTGGGGATAGGCTGTGAAATCTAGTGTTTCTGAAAAGCACTCTTTTGAATATCTCAGGGAGTCTGTGCTGGTGACGTATTCAGCATATGCAGGATGTATCAGACTTCCTGGTCTTGTTTTTAGTGGTGATCATATGTGCAGATTCCTAAGATTTCTCCTGTATACATTTCAGGACAGAAAAAGGCAGTTGCCTAACCACTGCAGAATAACCTGTCTGTACCTGAAATGGGAAGTGAATTCAGGCTCCTTAGCAGTGTAAGAGAAATTAATTTTGCTGCCGCACAAAGGATGGAGACTTGGCTGTTCTGGCCACAGAAAAGGAAGGAATTTGGAAAGCAGCCTTGGAGGGCCAGGCTTGCTGCTTCTGCTGCCCCCAGCAGGAAGCAGGAGCTTGGACTCTGACTTCTGCAGGGGAGGCCTTTTAGTAGGACCTGTCAACCAATATAGCTTATGCACTTTAGCAGTGGCAGCAGCAACTGTAACCTGCCTGGCTTTTTGGCGCATTGCACTGTAACAGCCACTTGTAAAGCAGCCTTAAAGCCTCTTGCCTGTTTTGCCCATCTTAGTAACAGTCTTATTTAACACATTTTCTCCATCCCGTCATAACTTAGAGCTTGATTTCTACTCTGTAGCAAAATGGAGCATAATGGTTTATTTATTATTACATCTTTTGAAATATTTCATATGTATCAATGTCATGACTTACATCCAATTAACTCTTAGTGCTTATATTATCCTGTAGAACTTAGTTTCACAGATTGTCTAGAGAAAAAATTTTTGTGTAAGATTGTGCTAGGAAGAGATTGTGCTAGAAAGCAGGAAGCAGGAAGCAGGTCCACAGGAGAAAATTACAACACTGGGAAAGGGGCACGCACTACCAGAAGTTTCAAATAATTGTTTTTTCTCATGTGTTAAACACCGTTCTGGTCTTTGGCCACAGCCTATTCGAAGCATACTACCCTAAAAGAGTCAGAAAAATTTATACTATTTGTACTATTTATAAAAATGTTTAGTGTTCTGTATTTTGTGTACTTTTTTGGGGGTACTCTGTTATAACAGGTTTCAATTATATACCCATAGATCTACCAAATACTGGGTAGTTCACTAGTACATAATACAGTATATATCTAACATGTAGTTATTATGGTGCTCTGCACACCACTCACTGGGTTTTTTTTAAATTGTTTTCTGAAGGAATCACACTACAGGCAAGTGTTTAAATGTTGTTAGTATTTTTACAAGTTTAATCTTACAGAATAGGGGGCAGCCTGTGGCTTCTGAGTTATATGTGACTTGTGAGCAGTTCAAGCATGGCTCTAGCAGACCAGTGCAAAGCTGTACTGGTGCACGAGGCTATAAGGCAATCCTGATTCCTGGCCATGGAAGACAATGAATCAGCAGGCATTGCAGAAGGTGACAGTAACAAATAGCCCTGGGTCTCTGCTGTATAGCCAGCATAGCTAAGTCTCATTTCTCAGTTCAGTGATGAAACTAGGAGGGTTCCCTCCAGAGAACCACTTTCACAGCCCCAGTATCTTCATCTTTTTAAAGCCCATGGGGTGAGTCTTCTGGCTTTCAGACACATAGAGATATGATCTCTGGCCCAGGGGAAAGAAGGTTGATTGCTCTTGCTTAAAGGAATATTCATGTATTGTAAATCCTCCATCCACTTGGGACTCCTCGTGTGGCCCTGGCTTGTAGTTGTTTCACTCTTTAAATCTTGCACTATAATAAAATTCAGAATTATCTGAGTGAGTAATGTTTCACCACCAATTCTGAAAGTAAGAGTTATTGAAGACTGCATGACAAGGCATTCGACTGAGATCAGCTTACAGCTGTGCTAGGGATCACACAGCCTGATATTAGAATGAGATGGTGTTCAGACTATTGTTTAGGATATAATTTCTATCATAGAAAGGATTATAATTCACTGCAAACACCAGTTCTAGAGAGTGGAAACTACTTTTAACACTATGTTTGCCCCTGCTTAGTTTGAATTAGTAGCACTGGCCTCTCTGCCTTTTTGGACACAGTTGCTGTGTGAACTAAGTCTCTTTGGCTTATCAGAGGGAAATATTTGAGAAAATATTGCGATAACTTTGAGACCTGGAAATTTAATTGCTTTCATTTTGTACCTTTCCACAGATTTTTTCCAGTGCTGGATATATTTGGCTGTGATAGGGACTGTAGAATGAATGACAGCTTTGTTTCCATAATTCTGCAGAGAGTCAGATGTTGAAAGTTCATTAAAATCTTTTCCTATCTTAGGAGCTCCACTGATATGAAATATGCAAGTAGAATTTTGCTCTTAGGCTCAAGATAATTCTTTTTGTTTCTATTTTGTCATCTCTGTATTGCTGAATATGTCCAGTTATATTTTGACCACCTGTCTTCAGGGTGAAAGTTCTTAGACTAGTACGGTCTGAGTCGACTGGAAAGGATAAATTTTAAGCTGTTCTCCAAGGGTTCTTGTCCTTGTTGTCACCTGCCATGGCTCAACTGCAAAGAATTTACCTCATCTTTTTGCTGTCATCATGAAGACTGTTGGTTCTCACCTGTTCTGCACTGAGATG